CGTTACCGCTTCTGCTGGTGTGGGTGTGCGGCGTCGGATCGAACAAGTGGCCCTGCCTCCGCTGGGTGTGCCCCGCATGGTGAACTCGCTCAAGGAGACAGGATTTGGACTGGATCACTGCCGCTATGTTCCTGGCTGCTTGGAGCGCCTCACAGACAAGTAGACATTTCATTAGCAGAAGCGTTGTTGTGTGTGTGTGTGAGGCAATTAGCTCCCTTAATTGTGACGAGCCTCACATTTCTTTTATTGACAGTTTTCTTTTGTTTACTTATTTTGACAAGCTGAGAGCTGCTGCTGGTGGTGGCCACATCGGGTGATGGTTCCAGTTGGGTTTGCATGTTTGCAGTTCTTCACTTCACGCTGGATTGGTTGCACGAGTGCCTGGGGGGAACTTTGGGTTTGTGGTTTGTTGTTAGTTTACGGTTCCGTCTCTACTGAGGGACTTGGCACCTCCTCAGTAGCGTCAGCCTGCCTTTTTATAATTATTTTATTGCCATTTTGGCCTTTTAGTAATCAGTTTTAGCCTTTTTAATCAAGTTTTATTTATATTTCTGTTAATGCATTTATGTCATTTGGGAACCCAGTCTCAAGCTCATGTTTCATAAGAGTGGACCTATGTGTCCTTAATTTTTGTCCTTGGGTATCAAGGTGGCGTTGTTGTTACAGTGAGATCAGGAACACGTGTTCCTCCCCAGTCTAGGAGGAACACGTAGATTGGTTCCGGCCTAGAGTACAACTAGAGCCGTGTGAATCCCTAGCTCCTGGCCCCGCTCGCCACAGTAAAAACTTAGCTGCTGTGCTTGCATGACTTTCGTTTGTAATCCAACTTTCAACGCATCACACCTTTGTTTTGCTAGTGTTTTCATGTTTTCTTGGTTTTCAGCCCTTCGACCGTTGCCTCGTCACGGAGATCCTCTGACATAAAACTCTATGATTTCTTCCCGCATGCTAGTTTTCCTGCTCTGTGCAGATACAGCACAGGCAGCACCACACAGCTGGGCAGGTAACTATAACTCACACTCATTTCCGTCAAACAGGAAACCTCCAGGCTCACGCCAGATTCATTTGTAATTGTGGATACAAGGAGCCCTAAAGTCCCCAACCACTGCATGCTCGATATGGTCGTGATGGTGTTGAAGGCTCTCCTCTTTGATTGGTCCACTAGACCTCTGTGCCCTCGTCCAGATCTTGGACGAAGCAGACCGTAAAGGACAAAGAGGCTACAGAAAGACGTTAACAGGATAGAAAAGGTAGAGAGAATCAGCATGACGAGGTTTGAGTAGCGACCTGTCATTAACTGTGGTACTATCAGGCCTGAGGACAGCATCCAGACACATCCGATGCTGATGTTTCTGATACGGACTCCACTGGTGTTTCGGAGGCTCAGGTAGGTGATGGGATAAACAACAGCGATATATTGCTCAACACAGGTCAGACTGCTTAAGAGTATCTTTCCGTAGGATGCTCCGATGGCTACACTTGTCACAATGGGCACTAATATTAAAACACCACAGTAAATGGCACAAATAAACCAGATGGCCCCTGAGATCCAGAGCAGCTCCATCACACACAGATGGTAGGTGAACATGTCCATGTGACTTCTTGTTTTAGAGGAGCACTGCTGCCGCCATCTTTGTAGTCCCAGGTAGAGGATGAAGGTGGATAGAGGGAGGAGGAGGGCAGTCCTTAGTAAGAGAGAAGCAGTGTAGGGGTAGAGACAGTGGTAGTATGGAGTTGAAATGTGAGTGTCAGAAGAGTTTCCAGACATTTGATTTATTGCTGACCTGCAGATGAAAGAAGACAGATCAGGGGAACCAAAGTTTTAAGACTTTTTTTTTTTGAGTTTTGTGTCTTTCACAAAAATCTTCAATTCCAGCTGCAAATAAATCTGAAAGTTATGAATAAACAACTTGGTCGATAACTAGTTGGCACAGGGACACGCTCGAACGCCTGCTCCAAATCCACAACACACTTGTGAGTTGGTTGGGCAAACTCCCACGCACCATGCAGGACCCGCTAAACCCAAAAGATGAGACGTCAAAGCAAAAATGTGAAGTCATACAAAATATCATGTAAACTCTGCAATAAAACACACACACAAGAGAAACAGGGCGCCAACTCAACACACAAAAAACAGGACATAGAACGGAGTGAACAAGTTAAAGGCACTTGGACAAAGGAATGTACACTAGAGATATGAATCTCCACGTCTGAGGCCGATTCAATTCGTATCGACACGCTACCAGCAATACGATACATTAACGGTACGGTGAAACCCCCGAGCCGATACGATTCGATACGAGTCATTTCTGCTCACGACTCATTGATTTGAAAACAATTTTCAATTTGATACACTTCATGATGCGATTTGAAACGTCAAAACGTGTCTGCAAAGATAAAACAACCTCGATTTGCTCTGTGTATGATGAAGACCCAAAAATATATATACTGTATCAGATAAAAAAACAAAAACACAAAACGAACGTAACAAAGAAGAGTCCAGACCAGTACGCTGAAACAATTAAAAACACCCACCTTACTATTGCAGGTTACTGTTGAGGGATGACCTTCAAACAGCTGAGCGGTTAGAGTTGCTTCTCCGATTGATCCTGTAAACGGTTTTCTGTCTCTCTGTGGTTCTGTGATGGACTGGCCCGTCCAGGTGTCTCCCAGTAGCTACTGGGAGATAAACACCACCTCCCAGTGACCCTGCTGGCTCTTTGCATATGGCAGATCATCGGGTTACATCATCACTAAAACATCTAGGGTTCATGAACCAGCCTGCAGATCCAGCTTCTCCTGACTATAATAATTCAGACAACATGAAGCAGAAAAAATGTTTTTTTCACCTGTTTACATGATGATTTGTTTCTGACTGGAAGTTTTGTCAGAGCTTAAAGATGCGGTGCTTAACATTATTTACATATACTGATCTAACATTTCAGTAGTCCATCACATTTGACTGGAGTTTAAATAACCTGTAAATGAAGACAGATGGATGTTTATTCAGATTCAGAGGTTTCACATAGTGATGTGTTTAGGGTTAGGGTTAAGCCTGATTTATGATCCTCTGTCGGCTCCACGAGGGAGAGACACGCACGCTCTGAGTGCTCCGTCTCCTGGGGAGTGTTGCAAAGCAGTTCCCTGCCAGGACAACAGAGAGCGTAGCGCTGTTCTAGGGTATCCGGCCATGTATCCGCTCCAAGATCTTGCATTTACCAATGTGTTTATGTTGTGTCTTTTGTATTTAAGAGACTTTTTAATGTGGACAAGTTTGTCCCTCATTCTCCTCCACCTCTTCCTGTGCTTGCCATCTCTAAACACACGTTTCCCATAATTTCGATCCACGAATAAAACGCTTGCTGCGTATATGTTCACTCCACCAGTCAGGGGTGAATAAAACATTTGTATTTTCAGAGTTTTTCGGTGAGGTATTCTTCAAGCTGCTCCGTGTCTGCCACTGGATATCATCAGCTTTCTTTATGTTATTTAGGGGGCAATGGTGGTGCTGTTTTCAATGATGCCAAAGGGGTAAAACAAAGAAAATGTTGAAATAAAAATTTTCTAATTTGTGTAAAAGTTGCTGATGTGGTGTAATGCTTTTAAAAAACAGAAGTGAAATAAAAAAGGCAGAGTTTGGAATTGTGGCTTCAACAAATGAACTCCATAATTCTCATCTCTCGTTTAGAAAATTATGTAGGAATATGTAGCACCGCATTGACCTGGTTTGTCAAGCAGAAGTTTCTCTATCATGATTGGTAACACCTATTCATGCAGGGCAAGCCTCCCATTTGGCGTACACCAAGGATCAATTTTAGGGCCTACACTTTTCTCCCTATATATGCTTGGAAAAATTAAAAGACATAATCAGTCTTTTTATTGTTATGCTGATGACGTCAAAATTTGTCTTCTAGTAAAGTCCGGACATTGTGCTACAACAACTTCCTTACTACACTGCATGACATAGAGCTTTAGTTGTCAGAAAACTTCTTAAAGAGCAAGTCACACCAAAATCAACGTTTTTTTGCAAATAACTTATATGAATAAGTGTATTATGGTGTTGTAGACATGTGTAGTTTTTCTTTTGGTGCATTGTCTTTAAAAACTTAAAAAATTCTGACTAAAACCTTCAGTCTAGCGCCCTCTTCAGCTCAAAATTATTCTACACAAATTTACAACGGCAGGTTGAAATCTGTCTCGACCAGTGGGTGAAAGGTCCCAAGAAACGTAACCAGGTCCCATAGAGCTTCGGACGTCACGTGACTCTCAGAGAGTAGACGCCATGTTGGCAGGTAACAAAGATAAACAAAATGAACAGGATTGGCTTGGATTTTACTTCGTCAGAGTTTACTTCACACTTTAAAACCAAAGAAATCATTTTATATAGTCAGAAATTAAATAGACTAAACATCTCCGACCCTTACCTAGCATTGAGCGAGGGTCGCAGCAAATCTTCTAGTATTATGATTATTTAGTTCCAGTAGCTTGGCTGTTAGATTTTGTAGTTTAGTATTTTTTTACATGTGACTCTTTCACCAACTTGGTGGAGTTTGAACCGGCTATGCTGGGTTGAAGAGCGTTTCACAAATTAGTCCAAGCCGTTCCAGTAATTAGCCGGATCCCCCCCCCCCCGACTGCCGCTTCCCCAAAACAGAGATTTTGGGCCCAATCTGAGGTGAGTAAACTAAATAATTACTTTTAACAGCTTCTAAAGATCGTTCTCTAACTGTAATGTAGCGGCTATATTTGCTATATTTATAAATGCAAAGTAAGTGAGACGTGGTTCAGGTAATAGCTAGTATCAGTCCACACTGCCGCAGGCTCGAAGCGAGTGGTGTGTGTGTGTGTGTGTGTGTGTGTGTGTGTGTGTGATAATATTACAGACGGTTCGGGTTGAGTTTTGTGCCAGTTAGCAATATCAGCGCTGATCCAGAGAAACGCAGGAGGGACACTGACGGATAGCCATCAGCTCCTCCTGCAGCTAAAAAGCCGACCCGGTTCTGAAATGGTGCTGAGTCCGGTTCTCATTAGAACATGTCTGATCTGATTTTAACCTTCTGTCTTTCTTTACCTTCTAGTTTTAACATTATGTCATTATTTTAGCTTATTGTTACACGTGTGTTGCTGCTCTTAAAAACAACAATAAATATATTTGCTGTTTCTTTATATTTCACAGCCTCCCAGCAGCTGTGTGTCTGACACTGGGACCATGATGGGAATTCCACCCAGAGCAGCTTCTACACTCCTGAACAGACCCAGGTGTGGTGGAGAGCTTCTGAGCAGCTTCCATCTGAATGACAGGACAAGCGCTATGAACTGATCCAGGTAAAAACATTCTAAATAATAACGTTGTATTCAGTTTTTTTTCTCTCACATCTCAGCCTGGCAGGTCATCACTGCAGAGGAGAATCTTCCCAGACTCACACCAACATCCCATTTTACCTCAGGGCCTCCTGATCTAACAGAAAGACCTGTAGCTCCATCCTCGCTCCGTTCTCCACATGTTTGTCATCATCTCTGGAAGCTACCTCCCACAACACTGTGATGTTATATATAATTTTGTTTTCAGGCTAAGTGAACCCAAGTAATCTGCTGTCAGACTGTGTAGTAAAGGTGAGTTGTTTTTAATCATCATGCAATCTTTATTGCAGCCTTTGAGTTTTAACATGAACTATCTATGTTTCCGTTTCATAGCTTATTGCTACACGTGTTTTGCTGCTGCGAGCTTGGAGCTAGATTACATCATGAGATCATGAAGGAGACTACTGATTCTGGCCCTGTGACACTTGGTGGTGACATGTGAGCTGATTAACCTGGTAAACAACTTTTACATTAAATATTTTGGTTTTTGCCATCAAAAGTAAATTAACTAATAACCTGCATTATTGTAGGACACTCAGCAAAATATGGACCTTACATCATGAGGCAGGCACACGTTAATACTCTATAAGAGCACATAAGGTGAGCAACATCACATATTGTACACTGTCCTGGATTTGTTTTCTTTCTGCATCTCATCATTAGCCTGGCTGATCACCTGATAACTCCTGTCATCTGGGTATGACAGCATGAGGATGTCCTCACACACCTGTAACCTATCAGCTCATCTGGCAGAATAGAGAGAGAGAAGAGACAACACCACATCTCCTGTTCCTGGAAAGCCTTCAGCCATCCTTCGATGACTGAGAACCTCCATCAGCTCTGTCTCCTGTCTGCCTACAATTATAATAAATATTGTGTTTGACAAGTTTTTTGTGCTGCCAAATATCTCATTTTCATTCCAGTTTTGATATTTTAATGGATATTTATAAATGACATTAATTGAATTATCATATTGTTACATGTTTAACTAGCTCTATTGTGATTAATTAAACTAGCACCTCACTGTTAAAAGCTCGTTTTAATTTCAAGCATGTTTAAGTATTTATGGACATGAACAAAAACAGGAAATATATAAATTGAGATTTATTTAATTAATATAACAAATAAGGGGGAAAGAGTCATTGAAAGGCACATTTTAGTGGGATGTTTTATTGTGCAACATAAATGAACACATTACAGAATAACTTTCTCTGCAGCAGAGAGTAACTTTAGCCCAGGGTAGGTGGCCGTGTCCTGGAGAGCTGCTATCCAGCACGTTTCAGTGGTTTTCCTGCTTTAACAGGTTAGATTAGCTGTTAAGCAGCTCAGCTATTTGTTGCTGATTAAAACCAGGTGTGTTAAAGCAGATAAACCTCTAAAACATGATTGATAGCTCTTTAAGGCCGTAGGGCCGAAACCTGCAGCTAATCTAATGCTATGGCTAACGGCTACCTACCATTCAGAGCTGGTTCTGTTGGGTCGGCTCCGGTGGTTTCAGGCAACTCACAAGCTCAAAACAATAAGGCTCAGGTCAGCTTGTCTCCTCCAAATAGTCTTGGTCCCTTTCTTCTCATTGTTTGGGTAAGGAGGGGCAGAAACATCGTCCACTTCTAATGACTGCTCAGAGTGAAAAAAAGCTAGCTTCATCTCGTTACCCATCCATCTTCGTCACTGCCATGGCTCCACTCTCTCGGTCCGCCAGGCAACGCCTTCTAATGTTGCCCTTTTCAAAATTGATACGTGGGTGGAGAAGGACTCTGAGGCAGACATGACGACCCCTTTAAACCTCAACAATGGATGGATTGTATTCATTTTTCCTCGCCAAACATCCTAGTCCCTTTGCAGAAAAAATGTCATATTTGAAAGCAGCATTTATTTCCATAAGCAGATGGACTCGGTTGTCAGAACTAGCTCCTACACCTCCTAGTTCTGCCTTATTGGATGTGAATGCACTAAGCTCCTGGCTCCATGCTATCTGCAGCAGTGTCTTCCCAGGGCCAGATTGGAGTCATGGCAGAATGACTACACACGTTTATTAAGGTGTAAATGTCGACTAGCAGAAAGGATGTGGAAGAAAGATAGGTTACTGAGCACTTTTCAGGTGTTAAGAGACTGTCTTTGTGACTATCAGGAGGCTGTGAGAGATGCTAGGAGGGTGTATTTCTCAAATGTGATACTCTTGGCGCATCACAGGCCACGGATGCTTTTTAATGTAATTGATAACATCCTCAATATTCTTAGTTGTGTTCTTGCTGTGTTAGGTTTCTAATTCCATGCTGTCATTCTTTTCTTTTTTTAAAACACAGAAACAGTTTCGTTACCTGTTTTCCCGCGCTACGTTTCGTCTGTGGCTGCAGACTTCCTCAGACTTCCTTAGGCTGACGTGTCAGCCTGAGGAAGTCTGCAGCCGCAGACAAAACGTAGCGCGGGAAAACAGGTAACGAAACGGTTTCTGTGTTTTAAAAAAAGAACGACAGCATGGAATCCTCAATATTCACCAACCAGTGGGTATTGAGCCCTCTGTGATGTCTTGCAAAGCATTTTACAGTTTTTTTGTGGACAAAATAGTAAATATCATAGCTCAGATTCCGTCAGTCCCCTGTCAGACTCATTCTGGTCCCTGTTCAGCTACTTTTAGTCAGTTTGAGCCGCTTACATTGGACTGCCTTTGGGATTTTGTTAACTCTGTAAAACCTGCTGGTTCTCACTTGGATTTGAGGCCCCCCAGGCTTTTAAAAGAAGCATTTTTATCAGTTGGTCCTTGGGTTCTTGCCATCATTAATCAGAGCATTGTCTCTGGAGTAGTACCAGGGAACTGGAAACGTGCTGTTTTTCAGCATTTTTTGAAGAAGCCTGGACTCGACTTATCTGCCTTGTCCAGTTATCGACCTAGCTCCAGATTTCCTTTTATTTCTAAGAAATTCAGATCTTTTCCCAGGTTCAGCATCAGAAAACTGCCAGGAGGACTTGGCCCTACAGGGCGAATTCACTAATATGTTGTAGTGTAGGAACTGGTTGAGTGCACACATGTTCTGCTTGTTTTCTATTCTCGCTTCTGAAGGACAGAATTGCATTTATGACATCTCAGATATAATTCTCCCTTTTAAAAATAACTGTATGTTAAGAATGGCTTAAATTAATCAGTTTATTTTAGAATATAGTAGAGTACATTAGAAACATTTTTTATTATCTAACAAAGGGACAATCCAGGCGCACCTGCAGGGACAAGTAAATGCAAGCATGCACATCTACACAAAGGTCAAGGAAAAACTATAAAAATGGAAAAAATAAGAACAAAAATAAAACTGAATTAAAAGAAATTTACTCCTAAAAGTTAAAATAAACAAAACAAAATAAATGTCCCAATTAAAAATAAAAAAGAAATAAATATATACATTTCATGGCTTTATTGTAGTCTGGTCTACTTCTAAACCTAATAATGCATCATGTAACCTTGCTCTAGTCCATTTGTAATGAACTTGTCCTTTTAATCTGAATTACAGCGGAGAGAGGGCCATTTTCCTGTCCTGTGTAGATACAACAGAGGCGACACCAGGCTGGTGGGGAGATTAAACAAAGAAAACCATACACCAATCAAGCAGTTCATGTGTTCACTCAGTATGGATGACACATTCACAACGTAGCAAAGAAAGAGCCCAACAAACCACAACCACAGCACACTGGTTATGGCCGTGATGGTGTGGAAAGCTCTCAGCTTGGATTGGTCGATTCTACCCCTGCTGCTGTCTCCTGGTCCTGGACGAATCAGGACATAAATGACAGAGACGGTGCAGAAAGTCATGATTACAATGGAAAACACCGAAATGCAAAGCATTAAAACAGTGATTCTTTTGCTCAACACGTCCATGTGGAAACACGCTAGTCCGACACACAGCAACCAAGCACACCCAATGCTGATGTTTCTCATCCAAACTCCGCAATTGCTTTTGGACATCAGGTAGGTGACCGGGTGAACAACAGCCAGGTACCGCTCCACACAGGTAAGAAGGTGGAAAAGCACTTCCCCGTAAAAAGTTACAGAGAAACACCATGTTCCCACAATGAACACCGCTTTGTTGTCACAGTATGTTCCGTACAAGTAGCCAATGACACCGATGCTCCAGAAGAGCTCGTTTACAGCCAGGTGGTAGGTCAAGATGTCAGCATGGCTCATTGTCTTAATGACGTGCTGCTGGCACCATTGATGATGACCCAAGTAGAGGACGAAGATGGAAAGAGGAAGTGGGAGGATGGTTTTAGCTGCTATCAGACCCGTGGAGATGTAATGTCTCTGCTTTGAATCCCAACAGACGTGGATCAGCTGATCAGTAGACGAGGATGTGGAGTTGGTCAACATGCTTACTGTAAGTAAGAAGAAATAAAGAAACATGTCACACAAACACATCGACAAGGACAGATGCATGACAATAAGGACACTTGTTGACAGTGACTATGACTCAGCCTGAGCAGCAGGCTCCCTTCTATGCCGACGATGATTTGAAGTATTTTTAAACCCTCTGTGGTGAGGTGTTGGCATTTTTTGTGGTGATGAATCCTGGGCCTTTTTCATGCCTGTCTGGACTTCCATAATTATCCTACCATGCTCAGCTCAAGTGCCAGATCATCTACACGTCCTCATGCTAACTAGATGCAGCCTCTTTCACTGAAACCAAGTAAGTCAAGCCAAATCAAGCCTAACTTACGTCTAGAGGGACTTGACTTAAAGCTAGGTCTGTAGGATGATGTCATCTAGGAGGAGAGGAGAAGATTTCTAAATCCTAACGTGTTTAGCTCCTCTTTCCATTTTGGAAGGAGCTGATAGCCATGCCTCATACAGTGCCTGCACACACAAATGACATTTTGGTGCTAAATCTGAATTGAAGCCAACCAGGCGGTTCCCACCTCCGCCATCTTGGCGGAGTCACGCGTCTCATAATTCCCATTTGTTGGCAATGACAGAGGTCAGACATTTTCTGTAGGTCTTCACAAGGTTTTCACACACCTTTGCTGGTATTTTGGCCCATTCGTCCATGCAGATCTCTTCTAGAGCAGTGATGTTTTGTGGCTGTTGCTAGGTAACAGACTTTCAAATTCCTCCAGAAATGTTCTATGGGGTTGAGATCTGGAGACTGGCTTGGCCACTCCAGGACCTTGAAATGTTTCTTTTGAAGCCACTCCTCCGTTACCCAGGCAGTGTTTGGGATCACTGTCATGCTAAAAGACACAGCCATGTTTCATCTTCAGTTTCCTTACTGCTGGAAGGAGGTTTTCACTCTAAACCTGACGATACATGGCCCCATTCATGCTTTCCATTACACGGACCAGTCATCCTGGTCCCTATGCAGAAAAAAGCCCCAAAGCACAATGTTTCCACCCCCATGCTTTACAGTAGGTATGGTGCTCACTGGATGCAACTCAGCATTCTTTCTCTCTGCTGGATCATCCAAATGCTGTCAAGCAAACTTCAGATTAGGGCTGCACAATATATCGTAAATATATCGTTATCGCGATATCAGCATGCACAATATGCATATCGCAAAGAACAGATAAATATCGCAATGAATGGTCAGCTCAGATGTTTGCTACACATAATTCATTCTGTCAATCAAATGGAAGCATGATTTTTTTAACAACTAAAACAGAGCTCTTCATCTATTTGGCCAATTGGGTGGGTTCTCATAGGTTAGATGCCCGCCCCCGAGGCGGACGGCACATCGTCTTGATGGTTATCAAACACCTGAGTTAGCTTTGTTCTGCTCTTTCGGCCGATTCTGCTTTTCCCGGGATCCACTGGTTGCCTTTTCTTGTTCATCCCCCCCCCCATTTCCTCACATCTTTTACATTTCTCGTTTTTATGATATTTTTACTTTTTTGTTTTTGATTATTTTTGTTCCTGAGTTAAGTTTTTATTTATCGCAAGTAATATTGTTATTGCAATATTAATCACTGTTATAGAATATCGCAGGTTTT